TGCCAATAAAGGTCTGATTTATTCTGCTGCTCTGGTCTCATCTCTGCTGGGGCCGTGACTAACAGAGAAGCTTTACTGTGCTGTTCTACGTCTGTACGCCTTGCTTTATTTTAATTTCCTCTGACCTGAGCTTACAGCACTTTCAACTTACCTGAGGCACACTTTTTTTTTTTTGCCCACTACCTATCTGACAACCCCGTTTCTGAATCTCTTCTGCGCGCATGTCTTTCTCGCCTCCTTCTTTTCTTTCCTGCTCTTGCCCTGCCTCCCCCTCCCCCTCCCCCTCCCTATTCCTTTCCACCCCTGTGGTAATGCAAAATGTATGAGAGGTAGAGTGCTATATTAGCTGGAAAAAAAACATTACAGTCTATCACAAACCTCACTTGTGACCCTGGCAGTTACATACACCGTCCTCACTGGAACACACACAGATGGTATAGTGGACACTGCCAGGGTTTTTTGCTGCAGTGTGTGTGTCATACACCACCAGTCCAGGCTCCTAATTTCAGTAGAAGATCCTCATCTCACACCCATCTTAATTTCAGCAGGGGTGTTTTGTCCACTTTTCTTTTCAGCCTCCCTTCTTCCTCTCCTCCACCTCGGAGGCCCGATGATGAATGTGGCCTGTCTACGGTTGCGGTCCGCTTATTTCTGCTCTCATCAGCTTCTGCTGTAATGAGAACAAGCGCTCAGACATCCAAGGACCCAAGCTTTGAATAATGACATCTTGTTTATAGTTCATGAACACCAGACGCCCCAAAACAGGCCCATGTAATCCCCTGAGACAGAGCTAGAAGCAGTACAGTGAGGAATATTGATTGATGCTGAATCAGTGAATACCTATTTATAATAGAAAGCACCAACATGTTAATTAAACTGTTTAAAAAATCTAAATTTAATGCCCATGAATGGTAATGTGTGACTGACAGACTGAGAATTATGATGCGCCCAACAAGTGGGAAATTGGCAGAGAAACCTCCCAACCTACATGTGCAAATGTGTGAGTCTAAGTGTGAAGCAGACACAGACAGTGTGTGTTTGAGAGGGACGATGAAGAAGAAAGATGTACACAGGAAAACACAGAGGAGGTTGCAGCAGTTAGTAAATGAAAACCCCAAGTTTAGCACACTCAAAGTAGCCTTTTCTCTTTCAGCTGCCACTCCAGTCCTCCCCCATACTCTATAATTCATTTCCTGCTGACATGGAGCAAGAGAAGCAGACAGTGCAGAAAGCTTCTTGATTCTCACATGTGCTTGAATTCATCAGAAACCTCTCTGCCTCTCCATCCTAACATCGTCTCCCCGCTCTCTTCTCTCTCCCTCACTTGCCTCCCTCCTTCTCCACTTCCTCCCCGCTGTCAGCTCATCTCTGCTTCACTTAGCATATTCTTATCACAGCAAGTCACCAACTCCTCCCTGGAGGCTGCACCTCCGAGGTCTGGAGATGATGGACCCATTCCAAAAACCTGCATGGCTGCGGACCAGTCGATGGGATTTAAACAGTGCCCTAAATAGCTGGATCTGATGTGCTCTTATTCACCGTAACCATGGAAACACACTATTCCTCTTCATCCTCAGAGCTGAAAGCAAATGCATGGTTGAGAGAGAGAAAAAGAAAGAAAGAAAGAAAGAAGAAAAGAAAGAAAGAAAGAAATGTTGTTAGTTAAATTCTGGACCACCGTGCATCTCTCCGAGGAGCATGGCAACTATAAAAATAGCCCCAGGGACAGTACACAAGGAAATTAACTTTTTCTACCTCTGCTCCATTTGTCCATATTGAACTCATTTTTATCCGCCAATTTGGGTGGCATTTTCAGGGCAAGTACGTAAACCCTGGTTGTGTTAAATAAATAAACAGTACAAATTTAGAGTCTGACATCCCTGATTTACATACTGTTTGAGATTTTTAAGGAGAACAGGACTCCTGAGAGTTTAAGCTCAAATTCTTTCTTCTGAAACAGATGAAGCAGGGTAGTTATCTTTTTTAAAAATATGTGAAAATGAACATTCATAATCTATGTTGGATTCCAAATTTTGAAAGCACTGTTGCACAGCAAGACATTGCTCTTTGACAATGGGTTTAAAGGTCCACCGGAAAACGAGAGTCGTTTTTATCTACTGATGCCGCAAGTCGTCTTCTTGTGGAGATTGCCACGTTGAACTGCCATGTTTCTACAGTAGCCCAGAGTGGACACACCAAACATTGGCTCTAGCTCTGGCTGTTTTTCGCATGTTTTTCAGCCATCGTAGTTGCTCTTGAATGGGAGTGTGAAGAGAGTGAGTTGCAATCTGCCGCTAAATCCTATAAATTTCATAAGTCAGTGGCTTCATTTAATCCACATTAAAAATGAGATAAGTGTTTATAAAATTGCAGTAAACCTCATCCTTTGAGGAGAAAAACTGCATTGCGACGAGACTTACTTCTCAATCACACAGAACTGATTTACAAATGACATCCTCAAGTGCTTAAATAATTTAAAGCTGCACTTCTTTAAATTCGATTTATAAATCCATAGTGGCTCAAATGACCATCTGTAATGCAAAAGGGGCCACTTGTAGTGACAAATCCACATCATTATCAACCGACTCTGCAGTTCTCCTTAGCTCGGAGCATTGTTGCCTCTTTATCATTGTTTCGGTTTTATGGCCTGCAACTTTACTATCTCATCACTTTTGTTAACCTTGTTTTTAGCTGCAACGGGCAGCTGTATTTAGTGTAAAAGCTATAAAAAAAACACAATGCACTACCTGATCAGCATCACATAAGACAGACAAAGTTAGTGTGGTGGTGAACATAGTGGAGCCGCAGAGACGGACCAAACCAGAGCTAAAATGGAATTAATATTGGACTTTGTTGGTTGACCAGAGACATGACTCCAAATGAATGCTTATATTGCTCTGTGTCGACTTAATGTGTAATTAGGAAGCTGTTTGCTTACTGCTACAGTTGCCTAATTACAACAGTAGTCAATAGTCTACAGCAGATTATCCATTAATTGTTTGCAAGTGTCAAATGGCACGGTTGATAGTGATATCTACATTGACATACCCTCATCACTGAGTAAAGAACTAATTAGTGAAATCATCAGTAGTTGGTCGGCAAGGAAACCTTCCCACTCCCTGTGGCACTCATTTGGACACCACAGATATAGAAAAAGAAAAACATGTAGTGCAGAGACTGGTTACCTTTGCCCCATCAAAGTGTTGCTGATATTGGTTGTATTATTTCCATAATCCAAATATTTGGGGCAATTACTGAACACGGTGAGACGTCTTTTGCTTCCCATCATAAGCTCATGGGTACATACTGTATTTGATCTTGATATTGACCGCTGTGCATCTCGCAGTGGAGGAGTCTCCTGTGCTAACAGCATAGAAGCAGCCGGAAGGCTTCTTATTAAACAGTCCAACCTAAGAACTGTGAACCCAGCTGCATTTTGGCAAAGGTTAATACAGCTCGAAATAAAAGGGAGCACACAAGTGTTAAGGCAGCAAAATGTCAAAGCAATTACCGTCAGCTTGCTAAAAGATGAAAGTGTGTGAGATTGTGCAGTGTTTGTGAGTGAAACAGAGAAACAGCCCTGAGTTCCTTTAAAATCTGCCTCCTCTTTATTTAATCTCTTCCCACAGTCCTCGCCACTGTCGCCATTACATCCAGTTTTAAACTACATATTACATGGCCAAAGGAATGTGGCTCTCCAAAAGGTTTTGTAACATGGCAGCAGGGGGTTTCTCCCATTCAGCCACAAGAGCGTCAGAGTGACGTCGGCCATTGATGTTGGCTGATAAGGCGTGGCCTGCAGTCGTCGTTCCATTTCATCCCAAAGGTGTTGGATTCGGTTAAGGTCAGGGCTCTGTGAAGGCCGGCCAAGCTGTTTTAACACCAAACTGGTTTCTTTAAGGACCTCACTTCGTGCACAGAGGCACTGTCATGTTGAAACAGGAAAGAGACTTCTGTAAACTATATTGTCTTAAACATCATCATATGGTGTGGTATTAACATTTCCCTAAACTGGACCAGTGGCCTGAAAAACAACCCTGGATCAGATCAGTAGTATATAAAATAATGTGGACAGGTACTTTTGGTCCTATAGGGTACGCATATCTAAACTGATCCAGTTATATATTTTCTTTTCCCCCCCAATGATTTCTTAATGTGCACACCAACATACATACATTATGAACCTTGCACAAGCTGATTTGCCAATACTGTACTGTAATTAATCAGGGCTTTACATCAGCTGTAAATCAGCAAGAAATTAGCCCCTATTGACACCCTGTCATGTTCAAGTAAATACATTTAATAGATTTACATATACAGTGTTGAAATATGCTCCTATCCAAGAGAACAGTGCAATCTTAAATAATGAAGGTATTCAAAATGAGTGTTTGGCATGGGCCCTCCTACATACCGGACCTCAAGATTAAGTAGTAAAGCAGGACCTGGTATAAATGATTTTAATTTGATGCATATTCCTAAACTAATTTGCAATAAATCAAATTACCACAAACTGAGACTTCTGGGCGCCCTGAGGGTATAAGAGCACCGGGGCATGATGCCAAAAGTCTCATTTGAATTTGAATAAGAGAGAGAGGAAACAATATTTCTATTCTTACAACAGACACAATGGGGAAGACAAATGCACTCATAAACACACACAAGTTACAAGTAAGAAACATTCATGTGGTAGTGTAATGTGTTTGTCCTCTATAATCTGTGGCCACTTCCAGCTGCAACACATGAAAAACGACATCAAGATAGTCTCTCTCTGTCTCCCTCTCTGTCTCTCTCTCTCTCTCTCTCACACACACACACACACACACACACACAGTGGGGGTGACAGATAACATACAATGATCAGGGGCTATATAATGCTGGTGTTCAGTGGATGTCACGCATGCTCAGACGTTATGATTAGTCCCCCCCTTCCCTCTCTCTCTCGCCCTTTATTGGCCGAGCTGAGGAGGAGCATCTGTGTCAGTGCTCAGAGAGATGGACGGGCAGCAGGTCGCCATAAAACACACATCTTCCTCCCGCAGAGCGAAGTGAGGTGACCGCAGGTGTCGTGGTCTGGGCGGGCTGAGGCGCGCCGCGGTGCCCTTGAGGAGATTCTGGACTGCCGCAGGACAGAGAGGAGGAGTGGTAAAAGAAGAAGAAGAACAAATGGCCAAGAAGAGGTGATGGAGTGGAGCGTTGGAGGGGCTCGCTAAATGACTGAAGCCGACCGAGAGTGAAGTTCAACCCCGCGGGATCCGCTGGTTTTGCGGGAGAGCAGGTGCGTTAAAGCGGATGGGGGGCATTTTCTTTTAAAACAATAGGTGTGTTCTGTAAGTAACCCACCTGCTGGTTCATTGATCTGGACCTCATTATGCAATAGTCCAACACGAAATTACAGGCAGGACGCGGGTCTAATTAGGGAACCGTGTGACGACTCAGGGTTCATTGATCGAGCTGCCGTGCGCCAATCTGAGCGTGAGCGAGCGCGCGCTTCTCTCCATTCAAGAATTCGTCATGGGTCACGGGTCGGGCTGTTATTGTTAGATACAACCTAACACTCACACACGATGTGTTGGGGGGGGGAGGAGAAAAAACCCGTCCCAAGCCTTCTCGGTGTCCAAGGGCGTGGTCGAACCTCATCCTGTGCAGTAGCGGCTCGCGACGGGCGTCGGCACAAGAATGATTTTATGAATGCTAACGACTATTAATTGTCTGAATGCGACAACACCTCAGCCAACCCTTTTCTGTCTCCCTCCGTTTGTGTTGACGTGAGTGTGTGTGTGTGCGTGTGTGTGTGTCAACCCTCTGGCGTCACAGGGGCGCATCACTGAGGAACTTAGATAACCTTGAGAATAACACCTCCCTTCACGTACAGACACACACACACACACACACACACACTCACTTAAACACACACACACACACACACACACATATTTACTAACCAATATATTATGCAATATAGGTCTAATATGTCTTACTTTGAATGACAGCTGCAGAATGCTTTTAGACTCTTCAATTATTAACTGTATAGGATTCATAAAGTGATTGGCCCATTAATAGTCCACATAAAAGGTATGATTGCTTTTAAAAGCATGTAAACCTTTTCTTTAGAGGATAAATATAAAGTAGAAGAGGTGTATAAATACACCCGGAGCACAGTCTACCAGAGTTCACCAGAAGAGCATTCTCGGCAATCCAAGCTTTATCCAGTGCCGGTCTCGCATTGTGCAGCTTTGGTGTTTTTTCGCTCGTAGCGGCTCACTTTAGGGTTGTGTAAGGTGTGAAACAAGCTTTCGGGAGCAGCAGCAGCAGCATTGCAGGGGTTGGCTGAATCATCTCGAACAGTAAATATCAGTGAGAAGAGAAGAGCCAGACAGGAACATCCTGATCTCTTTCTGCTCTTTGTGGTTTCGCAGAGCAGCAGATCAGGTTTCATCTACCCTTCGGTGAGAGTAAATGACTAGATCTTATCAAATGTCATAAGTGCAAACTCATGCCCGTGGTTATTTTTTTTGCTACTTCATTCAGCGGGCTGTGAAGTTGTGAAATTAAACCACAGTTTCATCCAGATTCATGTCTTGTATCATTTTAGTGCAGGGCGTATTCTTCCAGTGTCTGTAATTGGAGAAGGGATTCATTGAGGCAGAACAGTTAGAAGAATAATTCATTTTCAAATCAATAAAGCAGGTGCAATTTCCTCAAATCCCATATTTTCAAAGAAAGGTATTAATAAGCCTATTTTAACTTTGCCATTAACCAGAGAGAGGCACACAGCTAAAAACAGCACTCACACTGTGACCCTTTCTAGCTGTTGTAATTTGTAACAGGGCAATTCAGGCTGATTCATGGAAATATTCCACATCTCCTGGAAGAGTAAAGGCCTCGTAGCCAGTTACAAATTCACTGGTTCCCCCTGCTCCTACCAAATAAAAGGACTGCACCATCAATGGAGTGAGATACAGCAGCGAGCTGCCAAAAGTGATGGCTGTTGCTCTGCCTGCTGCAGTCAGATCATTCATCCAGACCTTTAAACTGATCAAATATAATGAAACTGAAATGCTTTTTTTATGCTCCCTTGTTATGCATTAATGGCAATTGTTAGGGTTGTGTGATATGAAGAGATGACATAAATCTCTGAGGTTTTTTCGTACACGTTATACCAGGGTAGGCAACATTGTTTTTTTTGTTCTTTAGTATCTTGGTTGGTCAGGTGTTAATTTGCTAGATTAGCCTCGAACAGACCTTGCTGTTGGGTTAGTTTCAAACTGTTTCTAGGTTGATTTTCCAGAAAATGTACTCTATCATGCTATATATCGATGCCACATAGTACATTTCTTATACCGTAATCAAGGATGTCACTTTGGTCCAGTATAAAATCTCTCAACAACTATTTTGTTGATTTTGTGACATTTATGTTTGCCTAACGATGTATCCTCATGACTTTGATAATCCCCTGACATTTTCCTCTTGCGCCACCATGAGGTTGACATTTGATGTTTTGAGTGAAATGTCACAACAGCTATTGGATGGATTGCCATTGCCATTGCCATTAGGTTCACATGTTCATCTCCCCCTCGGGATGAATTGTGTGGTAATCCCTTAATTTCATCTAGCGCCATCATCAGTTTCAAATTTCGGCTTGTTCCAATACATCGGTCTGTAACCAAATGCCTGCATTTGACATCGTGAACATGATAAACATTACACCTGTTAAACATCTGCAAATTAGCATTTACCTCAAATCTCCACTGTGCCTAAGCAGCTTTACAGAGTCGCTGTGGATTGTTGTTACTAAATTACACATTTTGTGAATAAACAGTCAACTGACACTTAGATTGAGCGTGTGAACCTCTGCCTAACACCTTGCAAATTCTTCATTCATAAGAAGAAACACTGCAAGTATATGGCATCTTTTTATTATTGTGCTTTCAATCTAAATATTGTAATAGTTTTGCTAATAGCAGTTCCACAGAGTGCAAGTACTGTGAGTACATAGTGTACATGCTTGACCACTTGCACAAATATGGAATTATTTTGGATACAATAATGACAAAAAGCATGCCAAATTACGGTTGAGTAATACTTTCCAACTCCAGGGAAATAACTGAGCACTCTGCTCCATGTGCCTTTGCATGAATAAACATGCAACATATGCTGATGGAAAGTATTCCCCAGTCTCAAAGAAACCAGTGGACTGCTGAGGATTTTACAACCTGATATACAGCAGTGGGTATGTGCCGTAAAGCACCTGCATGACCATACTGTTCGCTGCAAAAAGCTATTACTACATCAGATCTAATTTAGTCATCCGTGGAGCAGGACCTTGAAGGGAAAAGTTAAAGTGATGGAGTAAAGAAAGACGGAGGGGCGGTAGATGGTTGAGAAGGATGTTATGGAGATAAGATGAGACATGGGATCCTGTATTCATATAACTGTTATTTCTGTAAAAGCTGACATATTTTGACAGACTGAGAAATATCAGAACTGGTGTTGTTCATTTTCCCTGCCTGGATATATAGAGTGATGGAGCAGAAAGGAAAGAGGGAGAGGGAGAAAAAATAGTAAGAGACAGAGAGAGAGAAAAAAGACAAATGAGGCAGGAAGCACTTGCTTACGTAACTGCCAACAATCTCTAACCCCCCATGAAGGTCATGTTGTCCAAGAAGACTAAAACCAGCGATAACAGGGATGCTAATCTGCCATTATGGTTCTGTAAGTTTCTGCTAACTTAATGTGAGCTCTAATCACACATAAAAAAAACAATTAATGTGGTGATTGCTCAGACGGGAAGAGCTTACATACATTCCCTGCCGAACACGCAGGGCACATGGGAAGATGTGAGTCACTGCTATTATTATCTGGGATATTAAAGATTTATGAGATATCAAGAGTTACGCAGAGAGAGGCAGTGTGAGGGAAACAGAAGAGAGAGAGAGAGGATTTGCAGGAGTTTGTGTGTGTCAAATATATTTTGCATGTGACTCTACAAGTGTCTTTTCTCTTCCCTCGCAGGTGTTTGTCTTTTAAGTTTTAAAATGGAGTCCACGCACCTCCTGAGCAGCTCAAAGAAGAGAGTAAAGATCCACCCTCACACTGTCACAGCCAAATACGCCACGCACACACCCTACTCCCCTCAACCTGGAGTACACACACACTTCCCACAGCCTGGGGACGAAGGCTATGATGACGCTCCATCTTTTGAGGACTTCGGCTCCTTCTTGGAGGAGACGTCAGACAGGAAACAGCTGACGGAGAGCAAGAGGTGGCCTTTGACTCTGTTTGGCTCCAAAGACAAGGACAAGGACACGACCAACAAACCTCAGGCTGCTGGGGGAGGAGATGGGGGCGAGGGGGCAGCCAGAGCAGCGAAGGGAGCTGGGAGAGGGGTAGGGGAACAGCTGGCCAGTTTCGGGGAGGCTTCTGTGTCTGCTTCTCGGCTCACCTGGGTGGGGCTGGTCGGCGCGGCGCTGGCTCACGGCTGTTTGATCGTTCTGACCCGCCTGGCCTCTGAACGCTTCAGCCTGGGCCCCCTGTTTCTGCTCTTGGTTAGGTCCATTGTCCAGCTGCTCTCTGTGGCTGTACCACTGCACAGGGGGGAGAACCCTTTTGGACCAGAGGGCTATCGTCTACGTCTGCTCTGTTACGGCATCGCCTACTCCCTCTCGCTCTGCTGCGCCTACTCTTCCTTAACCTTCGTCTCTCCTGGTAACGGCACGACAACCTGGCGCCTGGCAACCACGGCGCTGTCAGCGACGCTGGCCTTCCTGCTCCTGGAGGAGAGGCTGGGATTGGCTGATGGGATCACCATAGCTGCAGGACTGTGTGGTTTGGGGCTCGTGTTGCTTCCCGCAGCAGACGAGAGCAATATAGATTCACCAACTGACCCGGTTGTGTTCTGGAGGGGTGCTTTTGGCTGGTCTCTTTCGGCTCTTGCTGGGCTGTGGATGGCACTGGCGCTGGTTGGGTATCGTTCCCTGAAGGAGAGGGTGGGAGTGGGCACAGCTTTGTTCACAGTAAGCTGGACGGGCTGCCTGCTCACCCCGGCCTCCTTGGCTCTGCTCCAGGAGGGCTGGTCCTGGCCTATGAGTGCTCCAGCTTGGGGCCTCGTCCTGGGCCTGGTTGCCTGCTCGGTTGCAGCCTTTCTGGGGATGACGCACGCCCTCACCCGACTCCACCCAGCTCTGGTCTCCGCCTCTCAGAGCCTGGAGGTACCCGTTGCCATGCTGCTGCATCTGGCCGTGCTGCCATTGGCTCCCACTGCGGCGGAGGTCGTCGGGAACGTGATGGTCATACTGAGCGTCGGTTGGCTTGTGGCAATGAAGCTGCTACCTTCTCGTGGGGGAGGGCGCCGCCAGAGGGAGGAGTATGAGGAGATTCTGGACTCGCCCATTAAATAGACATATCTCCTCTCCTCTTCACACCTCCTCTGTCTCTTCCCCTTAGTCCCTCCTACATGAGATTGGTTCCAGTGTAAATAAGAGACTGCTAAATGTTTATTGGAGCTTTATCTATTTTGTATTGTCTTCTTTGCTTTTGGGAAAGTGCCAATATTGTGTTGTCTGTTATAGTGACTATGTGATGTGATATTAAAATCTCTCTAAACACAACACATTCCTGAAGCCACTTGTAATCAGTATCTCGCCTCCTTAAGGGTGTTTGCGTGTGCGTATATTGGCTACATTTCACAAGACTGTAATGTCAGTCGCTTTTACCAGCCAGCTGAGGGTTAGCCAAGGATTGATGCCATCTATTTGGCTGCTGGCTGCTGGCGGGAGAGAGAGAAAGCAGGAGACGGGAAGCAAGAGAGAGTAGCGAGACACACAATCAGAGCAAGATAAATGGGGATGGAGAGAGAGAAGGTGATGGGATTGGCATACAGATAAGAAGCAGGAGAGAAATGGCAGATGACGAAACAGAGATGAAAGAGAAGGAAGCCAGGGCAGAAAGTAAGGCTGATGGCGGCTGGGTATTGCGCTGTGTCTGGCCAGCTGGCTGATAAAAACACTGTTCTGTGCGCAGGGAACAGTCATTATGTCTAATAACTACCTGTCAGACACATAGGCACTGTCACTCTTTGTTTCTGGGTCTCTCCTCCTCTATTTTCCTCATCATTAGCCTCCTGTTTTCCCTTTTTCCTCTTCCTCTCTCTCTGTTTTAAAAATAAATGAATCACTAAAATTAGATGATTTCACAAATCTTCCATTCACTAAAGTCCCCATACACACCACACAGATGGAGACTTTTAATGAAAACAAGTGCCCCCGCATTTAACAGACCAGTGTGTGTATGTGTGCGTGTGATGCGTGCATGCTGGATACCAAGCGGGTGTAGTAGGAAGATATAGCTGCTATCCTTGTTACTCCGTCTCAATGCTCCTCTGCGTGTCGTTAGTTGTGACATTTAAAAAATAGGCCAGTAAAAAAAAAAAA